CGGAGCCTTGCCCTAGCACCAAAACCCCTAAACCTAGGCCATGAATTTCACAATTTTGGTAGAGGTCTCAATGCTGATTATAGTAATGCCAACAGCTTGGCTGCTTGATGCCAGAAGTAAAGAAAAAGATTTGTAAAAACTGCATTTATTTTGATGGTTTTATCCCTATTCCTCGGGCCCCAGGGGACAGGAGCCATAAAGATTCACAATTTTACTCCCCCTTTACCCATAAATGCTACATGCTAAAATCTGTTGAAATTGAATCAGTGGTTTCCTAGAAGAAGATGAAAATGTTTCAATGTTAACACACGACAAACGATGGACACGACGACGGACGAAAACAGAAAGCAAAAGGTCACCTGAGTTTACTCAGGTGACCTAAAAAGCCCTTAAGGATAACCTATTCTATGGTCGATACAATGACCTTGGTAGCAAATACAATCTATCATTAAGTCGAATGTTGACTGACGTTTTTTATACCTATTGTTAGGCTATTATTTACACATTGAATTATCTACGGATTTTTTCCGATCATGACAATGAGCACATGCCGGGTGTGACCGGTGGTCAGGAGATGCCTACTTCTCCATGGCACTTAATCCCACCTAAGTTATTTTTTAGAGGTCCGTGTTTGTTCTGATCCCGACTTGTTTTGTTTCAATGGACTTTGGTGCTTAAATACTTGTCTTTATCTCCATATTTCATTTATAAAAAAAAATGTAACGTAACAACGTTTAAAAACAAAGAGAAAGAAAGAAAGTCAGATGCTTAGAAAGGCGTTTTCCTTGGAACTTTTTGCGTTGAAGCATTTCAGATAGGAAATGCATAGAAATTTGCTGATCCTCACTTTAAAGTGGCTTTCAAACATATCCTAAAGCTAAGTAGTTGCATAACTATTGTATAGACTGTAACCCTAAATATTGTATAGACTGTAACCTTATTCATCGAATTTATAAATAACCGAAAAAGGTGAAGATAACGAACAGTGTTCTATCTAAAAAAAAACCCTAAAAACAGTACAAAACTGTGAACAAGGCATAAAATTACGGACCCCTGGAAAATCCAGCAGTGGGTTAAGGTACCCAGGAGGAGTAACCATCCCCTATCGACAGATCACACCCGCAATGAGCCCTGTGTATTGATCAGGTACACGGAACATTCCGTACTCAAATCTAGTATAACAAGGTGCCCACTCCTTGCTAGCTGCTGTCACTTTAGCAGAATGGAATCACTTTTACCCATCTTGAAATTAATGCATATTTTATTTTTATCTTACATATGAGTAACCAAATAAAACTCCAAATTACAAATTTGATAAACTGGGACATAGTGTCAATTTGCTGACAAGTTGCTCCAGACTTTAAGGACAGCATTCCAAACCGAATAATAATTGATATTAACGAGAAGCTTTATAATGATTCTAGAGGAGAGTTTTAAAATATCATCTTTAAAACTTTTCCTAATTTAATACTGCTTAACAATGTGGACCTGTTTACTTTGATTATGTCAAATAAAGCTTCTGAGTTTGTTGTTTTATTATGCCAACATTTAAATGCAAACTTTAATATGAGAAAACAAAATAGTACAATATAGGCATATTACAGTCATTATACATATGCTATTTATAATATACATTTAATGCATCCTAAAAGTTGACTCTCTGTTCATTATACAGTAAGTTATTTGTTTTGTCTTGTTTATTGTTATTTATAACTATGATTTTTGACATTGATGGCAAGAATTTTGTATCTGCTACTTTTTTTTTTATCAAATAAATATTTCATTACAATTTATTCATAACAGTCAGGATTAATATGAAATTTTATATATTATATCCATGTAAAAATAAATCATGAAAAATATCATAATAAAATTTTGAAATGAGCCACCTGAAACTACAAAAATTCTATCACAAAACGTCCAAGTATACGAATTATTTGAACAGTAGAAATTGAAAGCAGAGGCGAAATTCTGTATCGGTTACTGAAGAAGTACTCAAGTCATACATTTTAAATGAACATAGAGACAATAGTTTTGAAATTAAACTAAAAAATATATAGAGGGTATTCAATGTTTTGTAGCTGAATATGGAATTTACATGTATTTTAAGAGTGGGACAGAATATTTTGATATATTTACGAGTGCGAAAATATCAAAAGAGATAAATAAATTTCAAATTCGACTACAAAATATTCACTTTTCTGTTCATTACATTGTCTTTCATCATTCTTTTCCTCTGTCCTTCAGTAACACAGTTTCAGAGGAGGTGACGTCATAGTAATGAGTGGTTGAGACGTCATAGCCTAGCAACAGTGAGATTGAAAACATTGTAAAAATGGATTTCAACAACATATATTTGGGGGAACTTTAAGTCTTTGTCATCATGGTTTATTTACTGTACTCTCTCTATCTTTTAACAAGTCAGGGAGTAATTATTACAACACTCTTCATGAAGGGAAGTAAAATCAAGAGTTTCGCCGCTTTTAGAATATTTTTCACACTTTAAAACTTATATTCCTATTTGTGGTCACACTTTTTCTGCTAGGGGCATGATTTGAACAATTAACAATCTACACTATATCAAATAAGCTAAAAAGATGAAGAAAAAACGTGAATCAATTATAATAAATTATTTAGCTTCCGAATCTGGCAAAAAATCTTCTGTTACATAATTTACAGGATTAAGAGCATTTTGCACATTGAAATAAAAACTATGATCTAATTGTTATCGTACAGTCTATCTACAGTAGTTTTCCCAGAATGCCCGTGAAGTCGAGCATGCGTATTTCAGAAATATAGACTAACGTAGTTGCTCGAGCGCTAGCAATAAATGCAATAAATGAGTAATAACAAGATGGAATTCTCATCACAAAACTGAGAAAATGTCTTTCCTCAGAGACAGGCGATAAGATAATTTTTCTAAACAAAAAAACAGTTGATTTTCCCTGTACGTATAGAAATACTGTTATGTACTTATAAGTGCTTCACTAATGCGAGAAGTATTTGCCAGTAACGGCCTGTGTTGTTTTTGTAATAAATTACTAATAAACTGGGCTTTGTTTGTAAGAATATTAAATGGACGTATACCATGTACCAATTATCTTTTGTTATCTTAAGATTGCTCAAATGCTAGGAAGAAACCATAGCTGTGACATGTTTTGACACTTCGATAGTTATTACAATTATTATTAAAACAATTCGCTTACATTTTAAACTGTTTAAGGACATTTTGATAACCAGAGCAATGAATAATTGAATAAGCAGTATCTAACTGTTTAACAATTTCATAGGCACCTGACGTGTAAAAAGTGTGAGGTTAACCCCCCTCCCCCCCCCCCCCCCCTCATTTATTTCAAAATAAGCTTTAAAAAATATCGGCTGTCAATTTTTTAATGCTAACTAAAATAAAAACTGACTGCATGACTGTACAGACCGATTACTGATTTCTGCTGAAATCATACATTTTGGAGAATTAGGTTTCTAAATTTATTTCATATAATCATGATGATACTTTTGATGGTACTTTTTAAATATATTTAAGTAAAAGGGTTTTTGAGTTATAAATACGTCATGTAGCAGTGAAGTTTGAAAATATTTTTTTTTTTCAGAAAATGTTCCGAATATTCGACTATCGTTCGAATAATGCAATCGAATAATCGACTAAGGAAAATAAATATTTTGACATCCCTACGAAAAATACATCAAACACAGGAAACAAAACGAAACAGGAAATAAATTTTAATTTGTTCTTTAGAAAATATGACATGTGCAATGTCTTCATACGCAACAAAATAAAATAAATAAACTTGACAATATTAAATCACGGAATTAAACAATCAGTCATTCAATCTAAATGCCTGGAATTACTGGTAATCTATAAACTCGGAACGTTTTCTCAAGGTTTGGCTTACACGTACTTGTTATTATGACGTTATTTACGTAAAATGACGTTGATTCTAACCGTTGCTGCTAAATGGACGAGTAGTTCCTCAATATACTGAATTTATAATAGTATGAAAATATACTTTTGAAATGCAATCGTGTTCATTGAGCATATTCAATAGTAATAATACCGGTATTATAAGTAACAACTCATTTATTTGAAAAATTCATGGCGTCAACGCTGGTATGAAATTCACTTTGTTTATCCATATATTTGCCTGAAATGTTCATGATATTCTACAAGTAAGCCAAAAAAACTTTAATGTTATGCAATGAAAAGATGCAAAAGTTCAATAATTATTTACGGTGAATAGAAGTAAAAGAAATACATAGTCACAATTTATTTCAATAAAATCGGCCCAAAATCGGCCCCGTGGCACTCTATGCAACAGTGTGATCGGCCCAAAATCGGCCCTGTGGCACAGAAGTGGTTAATCATTGGCCGGCCTAACTTGTTTCTTTTTTTCTCTACATGATTAAGTTGATTAATATCAATTTATTTGTTACTTATCATTTTTCTACGTTTTTTTTCTCGTAATAATACTAAATTCAACACTAAACCTTCTCTGTTAATTTACTTGAAAAGAAAAGGATCCCCAAGCCTATCCACATTTCCAGTCCGCCTCTCCTTATTAAATTTTGTTTGAGTTTTTAAAAGCAGTAAAGTGAACATGCACTTAAATCTATATCATATTAAACATGTTAAACATCTATTTATTCCAATTGTACAAATTTCCATATACAGTGAATTTTCTCGATGTTTATTAGAATATATTCTTTTATTCCCATACTTAAAACTTAGGTACGATATAACACAAATGAGTAATACAAACAAAGATAATATTTCTAAAAGTGATTTTTCGTATTTTCACATTCATGCAACAAGTTACACAAGTTCCTTTAGTATCTATGAATAATTAAACATCATTAACACAATATATACCGATATGTTCAAGCAGCAAATTAGATAAGATCATTTCGTACTTTTAAAGAACCAAACATTATATACACCTTATATTATTATTTTTGGATACATTATTTATAACATTCAGAATTTTCTATTTTTCAGAGACCTGAAGATATTTGTACACTCTAATTACGTTACTGCCATTCTGTCCCAAATAGAGGTTGTGCTTCTCGTCTACGCACACAGTTTCGGGACTATGTACATTATGTTGTCTTGTCAGCAGCATAGATAGGAACCAACCGTCCTGATCCAGGAGATGAACACCGGGATTGATGAGTGAATCATCACACACCAGTACGTGTCCTAGTATATCAGTACAGATACCACCGGGTTCAAAGACACGAGATTGTTGACCTCTGTAGTTAAACCGATGTTTTCCTGATTTATCTACCACCACCACTCTATCTGTATCAGATGTCCAGATGTCCCCGTTCTTGTTCTCCGTGATGTAGCGTGTGCATTTATACAGCTTCACTCCTTGGATGTCCGTCACAATATCAAGGATCTTCTCTCCCGTTCTGTCGTACCTAGTCACTTTACCGGTAAATCCAATAAAAGAAAATCCCACAAGTATGTTGCCGTTTAAGCGGGAGGAGTGGATACACCGTATCATCCAGTCTGTTGAGAATATTGTGGTGATGATTCCGTTTGACTCTAATTTTTTAACATCCTTATTGTCTGTAAACAATAGCTCACCATTATCTGTGATAGTGTGAAATTCACTGAATGCATCAAGACCTCCTAGAACCTTTCCACTGGAATCCAACTGTAGAAGATATTTAGATCCGTCACTCACCCAGAGTCGGTCTGATGTTCCACAGGAGATTAAGTAAATATTCTCAAAACCGCGTATGGTAATGGAAGACGTCTGTATTACAGACGGAAGTGATGTGTCAAGGAACACAACATCTATGATAAATAAGTAGAAATGTCAATATGACTAATATAAAATATTAACATTCAAAAAAAATGTTATTATATTGTTTTACTCTTGTATTTAATTGTGTTTACAGAATTTTAATCTGGGTAAAAATAGTTTGATATTAAAATCTAGATGAAATGTGTTCTTAGATATTGAAATAAATATAATTGCTTTCGAATCAGTTTAGCAAGCATACACATAGCCTTGCATATAGAGCTCGAATGCAAGAAAAAAAAAAATCAGTTCTGGAGACAGGCTTGGGGTAATGCAAATTGTAATGGTAATGCATTGCAATGCATTACTTGAACTCAAAGTAATGGTAGTAATGTGTTATGCCAAAAAATTGCATTACATGTGTGATGAATCAGGGTTGTACCAATCAATGTTAATAGAGTAGTTAGGGTTTTTGACATGGAATAACCTGTCCCCCTACCATGAAATAGACTATTCCATGCTATATATAGCGGGTGTTTGCCAATTCAGTCAGTATGTCTAAAAAGTCCGCGTTTGTTGCAGCAGAGTTGAGTAGTGGCTAGGTAAGGGTGATAGAGTAGTGAGGACGCTGAATAAGCAGATTCATATAGTAGAAGGTAACTATAAAACTGAATAAACCTTATTTAATGGGTTGAGTCAACTGGTCGACCACCGTAGCTTTGGCTTTGGAAATAAAGGCTGGATAAGTCTGTACTCTAATGTCAAAGTGAGATGGAGACGCCAGTTGATTAGAGACCTCTTGCCAGTAACCAGTACCCTTGGTTAGGCCAGTTGTGCGGGGACATTGGTCAAGAATAGGACAGGTGGTCCAGTGTCAATTGTCCCTTGATTTTATTCTGATTAGTTGTGTAAATCATAGTATATATATTGATTAAGTAAATAGTTTGAATGATCACAGTAAATATATTGATTAGGTTCGTGTCCAAGTAGACAACAATTGGTTAATCATTTGCACTGCAGAAATCCCTGGTGTAACCGGGTACGTGTCCACAGGAAGATATAGACCACTCGGCTGGACACACGTTACAGAATTTTTGGTGGCAGCGGTGAAATTTTTGCAGTGTGAGGAATTTTGTGTGCGTATTTATCTTTGGTACAATATACAATAATAAAATTGTAGGAATACTATTTTTTGCACATGATGTCAACTGATCAGTTAGATCGGGAACTGACGGATCTCATGGAAGATATAAGAGAACTAAAGTCAAGTATTCGGCAACATGAGAGTGTTATACACTCAACGACAAGGCCTCGAGAATATAAGACCCGTGGTAGATACGACCCTGGAATTTCCAGTGGTCCACCGTCGGTTACTCTCAGGAATCCTTTGGCCGACCACTTTCCAGATGACGGTGGATCGTGGTTGGATTTTAAGACTCATTTTAACACAGTCTACAAACTTAATGAATGGACAGAAGAGAAGAAGGGCTTATTTCTCGCGGCATCTCTTCGGGGTCAGGCTCAAGCAGTCCTTGGAAACTTGCCAGGTGACAACACTGATTATCATTACCTTGTACAGGCCCTTGAAGAACGCTTTGTGCCACCCAATCAAACCGAGTTATACAGAGTTCAGCTAAGGGAGAGGCGTAAAAGAGCAACAGAGATCATACCTGAGTTAGGACAGGCTATCAGAAGATTGGCAAATTTGGCCTATCCAAAAGCCCAATCTGGGGTAAGGGAAACCTTGGCCGTGGAACAATTTTTAGATGACTTCCCTGACTCGGACATGCGAATAAGGATTAAGCAGGCGCGTCCTAAGGATCTAAATGATGCCATTAAGTGTGCAGTAGAACTAGAGGCATATCTAAGGGAAGAAGACAAGAGGGGTACAAAGGTTATCAACACCAGTTGAGGGAAGAGGTAACTACTAATGAAGGGACTTTCAAAAATAAAAAAAATGGATATCATCAATGGAAACGAATATGGGTACAACCCACTAATTGTTTTCCCATAGGCGGCAATGTTAACGTTTCTTCACATAGCAATGTCCCTAATTTTCGTTCAGCATTGAGTGACCCCTCAAATCAAAGCATATCAAGTTGTCTTTCCTTGGTTAAAATCTCGAGGTGGCATGTCAGATTCGTTTTCCGGCAAAATGCGTCTGTCTGCGTTAACCTCTGAAAATGAAAGTGAAAGTAGGGGATTTCAAGACTTCTAACTGGTGTTATAATACATAAAATAATTCTGCTTATCTTCTTGATAAATTACATCTGACAAGCTTTTTTGCAAGGGAACATACTCCTTATCAACAAGTATGAGGCTCAATTTAATACCTTATCACAGTTTTTTTTATTCAGGTCTACAAATTAAGGAACTTGTAATTTTTTCTGCACTACTTTCTTCTCCTACCGATTCTAAAAATAATTAGAGGTATGTACCCAATATGAAAAAGTATTTTCTGGATTTCACAACATTTTACATCCTAAGTCATACTACAGACTATGTAGTGACATTATGCCAAATTTCAGGAAAATTCAATCATTAATAAAGATTTTACACCATGCACAGTTCTGTATGCAAAATTCTTTTAAAATGCTTCCATCTAGCCACAACTGCACCCAAATTTTAAGTCATCGGTTAGCTTGTTAATAAACTTATACCACTTTTATTCTCTTTCAAAACTTTAAATACATCAAGCAAAATCATAATCAAGAACTCATATGGGTCAATTTCTCTTATTTAAAAAAATCAATGCATTTTTGCACAAAATTTTATCATCCCTCACCCTTGAATTCATTGTTTCTCCATGATTAACAAAAAAATTAAGTTTACAAATACCCCGAAAGTGGTAAAAATAGAAAGTACTGATTATTTCCTGTCCATTGATGTATCATTCAGGAAAATTGGTGTAGCAATAAAAAAGTTATAAGCCTTTATATTCTTGTATACATTCATCTGTTTCAAAGCAATTTTTACGCCAGTGCAAGTTCACTCATCTATGATGTCATAATGACATCATAATAATGGATTGCTTATTACACATGTAGTGTTACTTTTCCCGTACTTTTAATTAAACATGAAATTAAAACTAAAATATTCATTACAACTATAAAATGATAAAAACACTTGCATGAGCAGATCAAATAAATAGTCTACAGAAAATGTTTTGTTTCCATGGTAACCATTTTGTAATTTGTAGGAAAATGAAAGAGAACTTTGAAAATTTTGAATTTCCTTACAAGTCGCTCATTCTGACTGATAAATATTAAAGGAATTTCAACTCTTAAATTTGTTAATCTTAATATTTTATCATACACAACACTATGAATGTAATTGTTTTGAAATTCTTTTTAAAATACATTAGCTGTAAAATATATAGCATACATGTACAGATTAGTTTGATGGTCACTTTTATAGCTCAAATATTTAAAATCTACATTTTCTAAGCTTTTACCCCCCCCCCCCCTAGACACACACATACACACACAAAGAAGCTTTAGAAAATTCAACTTACATATTAAAAGTACTGCCATCATTTTACATGTGAAGAGTCAAGATGTGTTCAAATGAGTTTGTTTTTACTGACTGATAGTTTTAAACACATCTGCATGAACCTCCATGTTGTCCTGTATCACCATGATCCTAAAAAAAATCAATTTTAAAAATGGTGCAATAATAAATCAGCATCATAAAGCACCTAAAACATTCACAGACAGACATCAAACAAACAAATCCTACCATAATCCTTTTATGCCCATAATTTGATATCAATTGAAAATTATGAATTTGCACTTATTAGTCTCAGCATTGTTAAATTACATGTAAATTAATAATACAGGTAAAAAGCATGTTTACTGACAATAATTATACATTAGACAAATACATGTAATGCAGTTAATAAAATAAAAAAAATGTTAGTGTGCATGTTCACGCACACACTGCTTACCTTCTACACAACTGTAGCCTGACCGACTTCTTTGAAAGAATGCACATGTATGTCCTCGCTGACATGTAATTCTATTCCATGACAATAAAAGTTTTCATTTACAAATATTGTGATAAGGCATGGAAACCTTTTTTTCTTTACCTCTTTCATAAAATGACAAATGCATATCACCTACATACTGCAAGACTCTGCACTAGGTAGCACTAAGCAGTTTTGATAACTTACTGCCATTCTACTTTCACTTTGACCTTGAACTTCACTGATTAAAATCTCTAGATAAATCACCCATTCGCGAATTATTGTTCTCGCGGTTTGATGCCCTTGGGCCACTTCGCGATATAAAGTACTCGCGTAAAATAAGGAATTTACAGTACCGATTCCGACCTCATTTGTGAAATTTTGTGTATTGAAAATAAACAATAGTGGTGGATGTACTTCTAAAATAATTGTTCCTTTTCTAAATATCTATTACTGGCTCTGAATTAATAAATTGTATAAAAATCGATACATTTGATTTACATGCTACATCTGTACACAATGGGAGATATGAGCATAAGCTGTCTGTCCCTGGGGGGGGGGGGGGGGTATTAACAAATCGATTTGTCTCAAAATACGTATAAACAAATTCAAATTTGCTTCTTTCATAAATTTAAACAATTGGAAATGATAATAAACAACGAGTTCAAAACAAAGTAATGATCTATGAGAATTTTCTCTTACCAATAGGCTCCTCATATTGGGTACAGCCCACTAATTGTTTTCCCATAGGCGGCAATGTTAACGTTTCTTCACATAGCAATGTCCCTAATTTTCGTTCAGCATTGAGTGACCCCTCAAATCAAAGCACATCAAGTTGTCTTTCCTTGGTTAAAATCTCGAGGTGGCATGTCAGATTCGTTTTCCGGCAAAATGCGTCTGTCTGCGTTAACCTCTGAAAATGAAAGTGAAAGTAGGGGATTTCAAGACTTCTAACTGGTGTTATAATACATAAAATAATTCTGCTGATCTTCTTGATAAATTACATCTGACAAGCTTTTTTGCAAGGGAACATACTCCTTATCAACAAGTATGAGGCTCAATTTAATACCTTATCACAGTTTTTTTTATTCAGGTCTACAAATTAAGGAACTTGTAATTTTTTCTGCACTACTTTCTTCTCCTACCGATTCTAAAAATAATTAGAGGTATGTACCCATATGGCAGCCATAAACAAGGAAATTAATGTGATTAGACAAGGCAGAGGCCAGTTGGACAAAAAGTCTTACAAAGAGTCATCTCTATCCAGGAAAAGTATGAATATGATAAAATGTTATGGTTGTCATAAAAAGGGACATTACAATCGAAATTGTCCAGAGAAAAACAGAGAGACACTTTTGGTAGCAAAAAGACTTCAGGGAGATGCGATACCGGAAGGAAATATAGTGATAAGGGTTCAAATGGACAGTAAACTGGCAAGCTTGGCTCTTGCTCAAACGAGGCTGGAATGTTCCTTTATGTATTGATAAATAGTGTTAGGGTGAAAATGTTAGTAGAGGGGCTACGGTTACGATGCTGTCATTAACTTTATTGGACAAAGTAAAAGACCATCGGGCATTTGAAATCCAAGAACCTTGACTGAAATTTTACACTGCAGATGGTGATAAATTAAAGTTGGAAGGTAAAGTCAGTACTGAGATGGCAATTGGAAGACATCCCATAAAGACATTAGCTTTGGTAGCTAATCTTTAGGTAGAGGGTATTCTCGGATTAGACATGATCAGACGTTTTGATATGATCATAGATGCAAAACGACGTTTTGTTAATTGAGGACGAAAGTATTCCTATGATTTATGAGGGTAAATTTGGATGCTTTAGAGTTGTAGCAGAAGTAACGGTCACCATACCACCGAGTGAACTTATTATACCAGGAAAAACTTTACTCTTGACGAGGAGCAACAACAAACACAGGGTATTGTAGAACCTAAAGAGAAAGAAGATACTAATAGGCCATTGATTGCTAGAACTTGTGTTCAACCAATGAAAAATAATATTTTGCCAGTGAGATTTTTGAACGTGGAGTCTGAACCAAAAGTGGAGTACAAGAACACAGAGATTGGGCAATTTTAGGAAACGGAACAAGTTACCTCAAATTATGCCAGTGAACCAGCAAAGCGGCCTGACATAGAAAACTTGCATAATGACTCGGTGATGCATCTAACAAAGAAACAAGCTAAGGAAGTAAAAAAGTTTCTTTGGAGGTACAAATCATTGTGTGCCAAGAGTAATAATGATCTTGGAAAAACCAATATAGTCAAACACAAGATTGACTCTAGAGATGCGAGACCTATAAAACAACCTGTTCGCCGTTCTCCTGCACACTTGGCAAAAGAAATTGAAAGAAATATTGATTAGATGCTAGACTGCAATATTATAGAACCATCGACAAGTCCCTGGGCATCCCCGATTGTACTGGTGAAAAAGAAGGATAATTCATACCGATCTTGTGTAGATTACAGGCATCTTAATGCTTGCACAGTTAAGGACGCCTATCCTTTGCCCAGGATTGATGAATCCTTAGAACAATTGTCTGGATACAGCTGGTTCTCTACTTTAGATATGTTTTCCGGGTATTGGCAGGTGGAACTTGATCCCAAGGACATACATAAAACGACTTTCGCCACACGTAGGGGTTTGTTTTTGGTTCCGAGTGATGCCTGTCGGATTTTGTTGTGCACCAGCCACGTTCGAAAGATTGATGGAAATGGTATTAGCAGGATTTCAATGGGAGGTTTGCCTGATTTACCTGGTTGATATAATCATTATGGGTAAATCATTCGGTGAAATGATGGCTAATTTTAAGCGAGTGTTTGACAGACTTCAATCAGCTGGGTTGCGATGAAGGCCAAGAAATGTCATTTGTTCCAGAGATCTGTAAAAATCTTGGGCCACATAATTTTTGAAGAAAGAATAATGACAGATCCTGAAAAGATAGAAAGTGTGAAAAACTGGCCATTACCAACAAGTGCAACTGAGGTTAGGTCTTTCCTTGGACTGTGTGGGTACTATTGGAAGTTTATAAAGGACTTTGAAAAGATTGCCAAGTGTCTACATAAGTTAACTGAAAAAAGGAGACCATTTGTCTGGAATGATGATTGCCAGATTGCTTTTGATTTGTTGAAACAAAAGCTTTTAACTACCCCAGTATTAGGACACCCCGACTTCACTAAAGAGTTTATACTGAACACGGATGCTAGCAGAGATGCTATTGGGCTATACTTTCTCAGGAACAAGAGGGTCATAAGAAAGTTATTGCCTATAGCAGTCATACCTTGTCCAAGAGTGAAAGAAGCTATTGCGTCACTAGGAAGGAGCTACTTGCAGTTGTTCATCTTGTTTAAGTTTTCAGACATTTCCTTCAGGGACGAAAAGTTCGTATTAGAACGGACCATAGTTTGCTAAAATGGTTATTGAGATTCAAGAACCCAGAGGGCTAACTAGCAAGATAGCTAGAAGTATTGAGTACATATGATATGTTTGATTGAACACCGCCCAAAAGCGCAACATCAAAATGCTGACCTCCGTAGTAGAATACCTTGCAAACAATGTGGTTTCGTTGCTGCTTGGGACAAAGAAGAGGAGTCAAGGTCTCTAAACATAATTAAGAACAATGAGGATGATGCTCAATTGCCAAATGATTCGTCTCTTAAAAGTATTCAATGAAATGATGCAGATGTTGCATTTATTGTCAAATGGTTAAAATGTGGAACAAAACCAAAATCCGAAGAACTAGCAGAAAAAAGTTTTTCTTTTTCGAGATATTGTGGGAAAATGGGACTTGTTACTTGTAAAAGATGGGTTACTGTGCAGAAAGTGGATTACTGAAAAGGGAAGCCCTATCTTTCAAGCTATAATATCATGGAGCGAGAGGCGGAAGGTACTCTATTTCTGCCAAGATTTCAAAGGGGTTGGACATCTAGGTCACAGGAAGACACTGGAAAGAGTGCGAAGTAAGTACTATTGGCCTGGTTGCAGGAAGGATGTAAGGCCATACGTTGCGGGATGTGAGAAATGTTCAAAGAGAAAAAGTCTGAATGTCACGAAGAAAGCTCCTATGAAGGTAGAAGAATCTGGAGTCCCCATGGAGAGAGTGGCTACCGATATTCTAGGAGAATTGCAAAAGACGGAGAGAAGTAACCGGTATATAATGGCAGTTGCTGACTTTTCACCAAGTGGACCGAGAGCTATGCCATACCCAACATGGAAGCATAAACGGTTGCTCGGATATTGGTGGAGGAAGTCTTCGCAAAATTTGGAGTGCCTAGAATACTTCATTCGGACCAGGGAAGGCAATAAGAATGTCTTCTGTTTCAAGAGCTCTGTGCCTTTCTTCATATTGAAAAGACAAGAATAACCCCCTATCACCCACAAAGTGATGGAATAGTTGAACGGTTTAATAAAACCCTTGCAACCATGATTAGTGCGTACGTGAACGAACACCAGACTAACTGGGATGGCTCTCTCCCATATGTTATGCAGGCCTATCGTTCTGCAGTTCACGAGACCACAGGCTATACACCCAACTTTTTAATGTTAGGTAGAGAGACATCTACACCCCTAGATCTCATGTACGAATTGCCAGGAGAGGTAAAAGATACTCCTAGAAACCAGTGGGTTTGGGAATTAAAGGAACGCTTAGAAGAAGCTTACAGGATAGTACAGGAAAATAGTAAGCAAGCTATGTGCCGACAATAGACATGTCCGGAAGCTTAGCTATGAAAAGATTGTCCCTGGTGACAGGGTTCTTGTGTACTTTCCGGTTCGCAAAATAGGTAGGTCGGCAAAATTGACCTCATATTAGCATGGTCCTTATACAATCTTAGGCAAATGCTCTGATCTGACCTACAAGCTTAAATGTGGGCCAAAAGGTAGAGAGCAAGTTGTCCCCGTAGATAGGATCAGAATAAGGCATCCCCAGTTACTGAGGGGAGAATCAAGTTCTAGTGAAGTTGATGAATTAGGTGATCAGCGACGTCTAGAAGATGAGGATAAAGTCTCTGATGAAAAAGATCACTTAGGGGATAAGAGTGATCAGGTGGAGGATACTTGGTCAGGAACAAGATAGAGTCAGACGATCAAAATGATATGTGGTCGCCAGATCCCACAAGAAGGAAAAGACGTCCACCAAAATGGATGTCAGACTGTGTCAGATATTAAATAATGTGTTAGAAATATGTATAGTTAGTGTCGAGTTTTGATATTTTAAACAGATAGTTTACACTGTAACGTTTTGTTTATATTTTGTCTTTCATAGATTACAATACCAAAGACAAAGATAACTGTCAAAAAGGGCAGGAAGTGCCCATTCTGTCCTTACTGTTTCATGAAAAATGAAGAATTGTCAAAGCACATTGGTGAATGCAGCATGGAACTGTTGTTCTGTAATTTTTGTGATTTCAATTCCACCACCTCCAAAAATTTGAGAAGGCATCTCAAGAGACAACATGACATTGGTGAAGAAACTGGCGTTGAGGTAGATTTAGTAGTTCAAAAGGAAGGCCCCAGTGAAAGTTGTGTCTCAGATACTAATCGTTGGTCACACAGGATCCTGGAGATCTTCGAGCGGTGTTTCCGCAGGATATAAGTGAGAGTTAGGATGAAGTCAACAAAGAGAAAAGTGGGAAGGAACTTCCGTGTAGTGATGAATCAAAGAGAGAAGGTAGACTCTATCGGAAACCCACTCGACCTTTACCAGTTTTTACTCCAGCTAGGGTTGCCACCGTGATAGATCCCAGACCTTTTAATCCAGCACCTGAGAAACAATCATGTGTACACAAAGAGTGTCAGACTGATCCAGTGTATTTCACGGAAAGCTTGAAAATTATAACCAAATGGGTCGAAGAGGGAAAACGAATCAAGAAGATTGAGAAGAAGAAATTGCTGTAAAAAATCATTTTGACATTCAGAAAGATATTTTGTTCATTTAAAGAAGCAAAACTACATAAATATTTAATACCCTTGAATTGTATGACTAAAGGTGTGGGTGATATTATGAATCAGTGTTGTACCAATCATTGTTAATAGGGTAGTTAAGGTTTTTGACATCGAATAACCTGTCTCCCCTACAATGAAATAGACTAGTCCAATGCTATATATATAGTGGGTGTTGGCCGATTCAGTCAGTCTATCTGAGAAGTCCGCGTTTGCTGCAGCAGAGTTGAGTAGTGGCTAGGTAAGGGTAATAGAGTAGTGAGGAAGCTGAATGGTAATGAATGGAAAAAAAAACAACAACAAACTCTTTGTATCTATTTAAATGCACTTTTAATCCTCTTGAGAGTACAATTACCTAACATTTAAATTTTCACACTTATCTTAGATGAGATTTGATTTCAAAGAATCATTTTAAATAATTTGTAATAAATCTTTAAAAATAATTCCGGTATGAGGTACACTAATTTTAGCCATTCTCTGTAACCACTTAAACTTGTCATGCATAGTCACCGATTTGGATGAAACTTTGCCCATTATTTGTACTTGACAACAAAAACATATTTCAAATAAAATTTGGTTGCTTTGTGTCTTGGTTGCCATGGATACAGCCGGACAAGTTTGAAAAATTGAGATTTTCAGCTACTTTAAGTCTTTATTGAGCCTTAATTAAAACTAGGAAATATAAATAAACCATTTTCACTAAAACATGACACCTTGTTGCCACTTATGCTATAAAGAAACTGTATAGAATATATCTCTAAGAAACAGGTAACTATGGCTACATTTGGAATACATTTTAAATGCTGAAAAATGCTAAAAAAGCTCAGTATTCACTAATGGTAGGTGTTTCATGATCAAACTCAATCAACAACTTAAGAAATACAATAAAAATATTTGACTTAAAGTAAATACGTATTAGCAATATTATTCTGTGAATAACTCTTATTGTTGCCATGGTAACACAGTGTAACCAAGCAAATTCAGTTACTAAGATTGGGTTAATGCTAGTATCTTGAGGAAAAACATGAAAATTCAAGACTGACAAGGACCTTGTAACACGACCAACATAAACAAAATTTGGATTATTTGCTAGTTGGAAGTGTAACCATGGAAACAACAAACCTTGGGTTAAAAGTGAAGTTTCTTTGCTGCTTTAGAAATTTACTTCCTTTTTAATCAAGAAACATATTATTTGACTCATCTTGAATAGTACTTATCTGGTAGAACTATAGTTGAATATTATATATTGATAAAGTTTGATGAAGAAAACAACACTGTTGCTATGTTTTTCAAGAAGGGAAGATGTTCGATTTTGTATCAATAATAAACCCTTTGTGCAAACTTCTTGCATCCAGTTAGAGATTGTGTGGTAGTCAAAATTGAAAGCCAAGTTATTTGTTCATAAATATCAATCATAAATTGTTTTTGAATCTACATACATAGATACGTATCCAAAGAAACAAAATGTTTTTTTCAGATTTTTATGCAAATTTTTCCTGCTTATTTCCAAAAAATTAAAGAATTTTATTTGAATTTTTTAAAATGTTAAAATAAGGACCACGCCAAAGCCTTAAAAAATTTACCAGTTATATAGAAATGTGCTTTTTAAACAGATGGCGTCAGATTAAAACATACAGAGAGTAAATTTGAAGCCCCTTCGTGGTATTTAAACCATGGCAACCATTGTCAACCATTTAGAAATATCATATTTCGTTCTTGGTATATCTTACAAGGTTCTTTTCTCCATTATTTTGTTGCATTTCAACCTATAATTGATTTAAATATTTAAGTGGATGGCTTTATAAAACTGAATGAATAAAGTTATCACTTTTGAATACTTTGTTTCCATAGTAACGTATGTAATATTTGATTTACCAAGTATGTTTATCATGCATTTAATACATCTGGCCTTTAACTTTTGGAAGCAGTCATTGACACTTATTCACATTGCTGCAAATATTAAATATGGGGCTCTAAACATGCTAAAAATGCATTTTTTTTTATACTTCATAACATGTTATCATGGTAACCATGGCCTTTAACAACCAAAATTTGCCTGATTTGAGTGTACAGTATCTAAGCCTTTTATCAAAGTGAGTTTGGAGAAATTCCGAGACTATGCGTGCCACAGCTCCTATATAAAAGTTTAAAATGCATCCTTAGATGAAAGTCATTTTAGAGAATGGCTCTTAATGTACTCTGTAAAGTGATAATTGGCGCCTTTTAAATAGCTAGAGTGTCATCAAAACA